GAAAGACAACTCCTGCACTGAATCCATGTCAGATGGGACCTCTTCTGCAACAGCTGATAATAGCTACCACTAGGTACCTACCACTACAACTGACACTCGGTTGCCATGGTATGTCAGTGCTGACAAGCTCCTGTCAATTCCGGATTATAATTATTTTCATACAATGACCTTAATATAATGCTATTGATTATTAAACCGGGTAAGTTCACTAATATTGACTTATTAGTTAATATTAGTGACAGTGGCAACATGAGATATTGACAATTCCAGAGTGACATTATGTTCAGCATGGTTCCATGACAGTTCACAGAATGTCATGAGTTATAGTGGCTGCCTGGTCTATTACTTAATAGACCAGGCAGCCACTATAACTTTCAGTGTTTTTTGTTTTTTTTTAAGATAATGCAAAGTTTTTGGAAAACATGTTATAATTTTCCAAAAATGCCTGTTAACCAGTTTTAAAGAGTTACTTGTTATTATTTAATAAATTTAATCTGCTATTTTTCATTATTTGTCAAGTTCATTACAGATTTGTGTGGCATACATGAAGGTTGCTTCTCTGTGTTTGTTTCTGGTTCTGTTCATTGTCTTCAAAGTTTTCTTATTCAAAGATGAGAGAATGACTAAAATCTGAGCTACAAAATGCATTTCAACAGCATTTTCAAGGCAGCAGGAGGACTTTCACTTTCAAGTTAAACCACCTTCAAATTTTTACACTAATATTGAATATTGATAAGTCAAAACACAAAGTATGTACACCTCAAAAACTTTGACAATGTGTGAATCCTAAGCAGCATTAAGAACAAGATTGTTACATATTTTTGGAAATAAAAATTACTTTGGGTTATACTTAAGATGCAAATGCTTTTTTCAAAGAAAATTGTGCTGTTTACATATTATTTTATTTGGCAGATATGTTTCAACATTTTTAAAGTATATGCATAGTAATTGAGTTGTCAATATTTATTAGCCATTGTATGTTAATACTTTAAACAGCAATAACATAATTTAAGTTTTCAATAGCCAAGAACTAAAATATTTGTGTATTATAAAATCCCTCTCTGAAATCATTTGAAGTCTACTGTAAAATTCATGTTTAGTCAACGTGTGAATTTACTACATCAGGATCAAATAACTTATTATTCATCCATGAGAAATTATAATCATTACGCTTAAAAATTATTTTTCAAACTTTATTAATTTCTACAATATACGTTTTACACAACTACTACGTATTTCCATCTTGGCCAAAGCCCTATCTGGCAACCCAACGGGGTTCAACAGGTTCCACTGTAATAGTGACAGTGGTAGATTCAATTACTTTGGCCATCTTCCTTCAATTAAATTAAGTCAAAAATATTCAAGGTGTTAAACGGATAATTAACCAATACAATTACCATTGAAATAAAAATTTATAAACAGGCAATATAAGTAACACGTTTTCCAAAAACTGTCATTGCCATCCCCCAAAACATCGGCACCAGTTGTGACAGCTCTGAAACATCCTGGACACCTAACGGCAGCTCTAGTGGAAGCCAGACTCAGCTGTTGCAAAGGTGCCAAAACCAATGGCATCCCTGATACCTGTTGTGTATTCGATTAATTCAAAGACGAAAGGAGTCGGCTGGATTATTCAGATGAACTTTAGTGAATAAATAGGATGAACGAATCATACATAATGATATACGAAAAAGTGTAGGAATTCAGCTAACATAAGTCTTTCTGCAAAAAAAAAAGTATTAAATTCTTTCTTCTTCGTCTGTCTTCAAGTTCTTCTTCTACAAGTAATAAATCATCATGGGATATGTAGTCCATTTTCCGAAGCCAATGGCAACACTTACGGCTAGCCCCGAAAGCAGTGGCACTAATGGCAGGTGTCAGCGGAAGTGCCAGTACGAGGTGCCGAGGTCAGCCAAAGTCAGCCGAAGGCAGTGGTAACACTGACCGCTAGCCCCGAAAACAGTGGCACTAATGGCAGGTATCAGAGGAAGTGCCAGTACGAAGTGCCGAAGTCAGCCGAAGTCAGTGGCAACACTGACAGCTAGACCCGAAAACAGTGGCACTTGTGGCGCGTAATGACACCTGCCACCGGAAGTGCCATTAGTAGGTGCGGTGTCACGATTTGCGCTCGGCCCTGCTGCTACAATCTCATGCTGTGAGTTTAATCTTTAAGTTTGAGCTCTGTTTGTTCACAAATAAAACTTAGTAAATTGTAATTATAACTGATTGCTTTTAAGGTTGGCCAATTAATCTACTCCCAACACATCTGTTAGAGGTGCTGATGTTTTTAGCAACAAAAGGGGCCCCTACATCAAATTCTGCTCAAGGCCTCATACAGCCTTGGACCGGCCCTGCATGATGAGGTAATCTGCTGCACTACACAGAGATGCACAACAAACGGGAGATTTAATTCAATGCTGCTAATGTGGCTTTAGTAGCTCTAACATTTTGTGTCTGTTGAGTTTTTAATAAGCGTCACAGAAACTATTCTGGTTGGTCGAGTTTATGGGACAAGTTTCTCAGATCTCCGTGCGGCCGTGCACATTAACTCTGTCTGACTAAGTGGACAAAGCATTTGATACGATTTGATGCATTGTGTAACCGGAAAATTAATACTATAATAATATAAAATCAGCGTGATGCATTACAGACAGGAGAGCACGAAAGCTCCTCACCAGGCTGAACCTGCATGATCAGGTTAGTGCTAGTTCATTAACTAATACACCGGCCAACTGGGAACACATAGATAAACTTTATCAGCGCAGGCAGAGCCGGGCGCTGGCAGCGTGTTGAGATGGAAAAGCCGCACAAAATTCTTTGTTCACAAATATAAATCATTCTCACCGCTCGGTCAATGCACCTCTGAAAGCACGACAAGTTATTCCTGCAGTTCACATAGAGCTGTACAACCAGAGCTAACCAGAGTGGTGTTTAAAGTCCTACCTTGATCAAAAACTCTGGAAAGAATCATAATTCCTCACAGGGGGTTGATGTAAATATCCATACAGGTCAGCCTGTGTCCAGTTTGAGTGAAAGGAGGCGCGCGGGATCCGCGCTGAGGTAAACTTAATCCAGCTACTGCAGCGCTCGAGGCAACGCGCAGAGGCGCCAGCGGTGTGATTGGTCTGTCTTTAAATGCATAAACTAAAAACATATCTTTTAGGAATAAATCTGCTCCGCCAGTGAAGCGCTCAGAGCAACAGAGACACTGCAATTCGGCTTAAAAAAGAAAAAGAAAAAAAAAGTGTTTTTTTATTATTATTATTATTTTCCTAAAAACATACACAAGAAAAGTTTAGCCTGGCGGTGGCGCTAGTAAAGGATGGCGGGCCGCCAGGACTATAATACACTGGGGGAAACCCTGACTTCCAAAACCTTTGCCAGTCTTTGAGTGTAACAAATGATTTTCTCTGCAGGTACGCTGCATGTTGAACATTTGGGGAGTCATGCTCTTTATCCGCATGACATGGATTGTTGGCCAGGCTGGAATTGGTAAGCTGCCAACTCATGTTCAGTACCAAACAGTTCCAGTAATAAGGAAAAAGCACTGGTGTAAGCTTTGTTTATTTATTTGGTTGCATAAAATGGAGAACTTATGTTTAGTGTGTGTATGTATGTGTATGTGTGTGTTCGTTTGTAATACCTTGTGGGGATCATTTTTCTGACACATACTACGTTGTGGGGACCCACTGCTAGTGGAAAGGGGAAACACTGTTTTTGGATCAAGGATTAGATTTAGATCTAAGGTGTGAATTGAGTTTTGGCTAGAGTTAAGGTTAGGTATGTAATGGGTAGGGTTAGTATAAGGATAAGGTTCAGGCTGTAAAAATGAATGGAAATCAATGGAAAATCCCCACAAAGATAGCCACGTGTGTGGGTTTGTGCGTGTGTGTGTGCAATCTGATGTAACAGCTCTTGACTTACTGGATGAAAAGGTTGTTGCAATGTCACTTGTTCTTTTTCAGAAACAGGAAGTCACCTGTTTACAGCATGACAGTCCTGCACTGCTGAATGAAAAGCATCTGCTGGGACATACACACACAGTTTAGTGTAGTAAAGAAGAGCATATTTAATGTTATAGGGAACCACGATTAGTTATAAAAATAGACCTTATTTGGGAAATATTTATCTTGGATGTAAAAACAATACAGTAATAATACTGTAGGGTATTTAGTTTTTATAAATTTTAATAAAATATTTTCACAGAAATGTCGCCATGTTGTTCGCGCTGCAATGCATTCTGGGTAAATGACGTGTAATGGTCCAACTGCCTGGCTCCTCCAAGCAAAACTGTGATGAGTAAGATTAAGCCTTTTTAATGTGAACCGGACTTGTGCGAATTTCTGTTCCCCTGTAAAAATCTGTTCCCCCTGTGTCAGGAGCGCGCATTGTAGCCAGAAAGGCTACAATGCGCAAAGTTATGAGGGGGAAACCAAATATTTTAGCCACCTGAAATACTTCTTTCCTCCTTCATAACATGGGAACAAATTAATTTACCAGCA